CTTCCTGGTTTTGTGGCATTGGGGCCTGGGTATGATGTAACCCTGGGTCCTGTGCTTTGGAGGACCCCCATAATGCTGCATCACTATTCTTAGTGGAAGCTTGAAGGAACTCAACCTGATACTCAAAAGCACCCAAGTGTCTTACGGGCAATTTTTGAAAATGTCTTTCCCAAACAGAAAGCCAGGCTGCCCACTGCCAGGAAAGCCATGTGGACAGGGCAGGGCTGCCCAGAAGGATGCCCACTCCTCCCCTTCCCCTCACGCAGCTAAAATTCCATGGAACAGCCCCCTCTTTGCCAATTGCTTCCCAACCCTCCATTTACCAATCTCAAATGGTCATGTTCTCAGTTCCCTGGATCAATGCTGGCCTTGATTTTACCAATACAGATAAAGCAGGGGGATGTAGAGATGGGGAAAAAAATGTTTGAGGAGACAACAATCTAAGCCTCTCAGAAACCTAAAACCTGTACTAATCAATATCTGGACAATAATTGTACCTTGAAGCCCAATGCTCTCTTCTACATAGTATTTAAAAATAATTCCTTTTCACCTTTCTAGGGGGGAAGAAAGAGAGAAATGTTTTGGATAGGCTGAAATGAATGTCTTCAATTTCAGCGTTCTTTATAATAAACTCAGTCACTTGGTTAGTTTATGAACAAAGTAATATATTTGATTTATTCAAATATTTACTTGATTTACTCAAATATTCTGCTTGCTATATTTAATTTAAAAGTGTAATTTATTCAGATTAATCATACAAGTGATAACTTAATCTACGTTTCAGAGCCCTTAATCATTTATCATTTATTCAAGTGGAGGTAAGCTGATGATCTGTAAGGAACGTGCTATCTCTCAGTTCAGTCAGTATTTGGGGAAGGAGGCAGAAACTAGAGAGCATAGAAACCATTAATGTCTGGATAAAACAAAGGGCGCTTTATGCCTTCCAGAATGAGTGCTCTACGCACCGTGGAGCGGATCCAGAAAGCCCTTGTTTTCTGAAATGGAGCTAGAGGAGATACACAAGGGGTGGGGACGAGGGGAACCTTCTGACCTTGTGGCCTCCTGCCACGTGGGACCTTTGTGGCTTGCTGTGGCTTGCTGTGGCTTTCAGGTTTGTCTGTGTTTTGAATTTCAAATCAACACCTGTGCTTGGGGCTGCCTTCCCAGATCAGCACACCCCAGTCTGCACCTCCCCACATCCCCACCTTCCCAGAAGACCCCCTGGCTTGCAGCACCCTCGGTCGGCACAATTGTGTCTGTGCAGTTTGAATAATGCCCGGAAGCAGATTCTGGCCCTACTGAGCTGCCCACTTTGGCTGCCAGAGTTCTCTCCAGAGAACATTATTCCTGTTGGTAGACCAATTACAAGGTCACACAGGTTTTGAGCGGTCAAACCTCTACCCTGTTTTTCTCCATAAGCACTGCCACGTTTGGTGTGTGATTTTGTACAGTGTGAGGTTTTGCAGGGATGCATGGATCATGTCTTCCCAGAAATGCCTCATTTCTTTCAAGGCAGCAGCAGCGGAGACAAAGGTATGTGAGGGAGTTGAACAGGGCCATCCCTGGGTAGCATGGATGTGTTTGGCAGAATCTAAGCCCCTCCCCTGGAAGGCTCTGAGTCCTGCAGCACCTCAAAGCCCCCTTCTCCAAGTCCAGAGCACTGAGTGGGGTCCTGACCCCGTCCCTGCATATGTGGTCTTTCTGGTGCTTTGGGTTGCTGCCTTGGAGAGAGAGTACGTTGCAGCATGAATTAGCTAAATGCATTTCTCAAGAAAACCTTCCTTTGTACTTTCCTTGAAATTGGTTCATGGAAACACACTTCGTGGAAACACTCTTGGATTCTTCCTATTTCTCTCTGATGTAAATACTTCCTATGCCCTAGAATTCCTGCGAGAATTTGTTGGTCTTTGTACTGAAGCCCTGACTATGTGTCTTGTGTTATTACGGCATACATATGTGCATGTGCATGCATGTCTGTGTATGTTGTACGTGCATGTGTGTGTGTGTGTTTTGCCTCAGTTACACTATACGCTCCTTGAGGGCAGGCACCCCATCTCTACATTTCCTCCATATTGCCCGGCAATGCCTTTCATACACTCGACACTCAATAAAGCTTCCTAAATGAGCCGATCCTCCAAAAGCACTGATTTTCATGTGGGTCCTTTTGTAAGGAGGATCTACTTAAATGTGCGCCGTGAATTCCAACGCAGTGGTGAAAAGACAATTTTGCAATAAAAATTTCCCACAGAGTCGTTATTGGAAATCATTCTGGCAAAGTAAAAGCCAAAAAGCAACGTAAGAACACCTTATGTGAATATTTTATTCAACTTTAAAAAAAATTAGTAAGCAGCAGACAGGAATTATTTAATCTGGCAGCTCCGAGAGTTCCTGCCTCTCTTTCCAAGGCGCTAGAGTTGAGCTATTTCCCAAGGGAACAGCAGCTCGGCACAAACCTCAAGGTGATTCCTGCTTAGGGAGATTGCTGACAGACAACAGGGTTCAGCTTCCACGGTTAAGGAAACATGCGGGTCTGCTGGTGATGGACACGGGCTCAGCCGCTTTGAGTGACACACACGACCTCCACTGTCCCATCCCTGCCGGTGAGTGTGCAGGTGTCTGTTCTGTGTCTTTGCTTTTCCTCAGAGAGGGTAGGGGAAAGCACATGTGATGGCTTGAGGCAGGGGTATCTATGATGCTTCAGTGTGGTTGGAGGGCAGGAACCCAGGGGGAGCGTGGGGAGAGGCAGAGGCAGGAGAGAAGGCAAGATACCCCCTTTCGAAGGCCACATGGCCACATCCAAGGGTGAATTTTTATCACGAGGGAAATGGAAAGGCACTCAAAGTTTTCAGCAGAGGACTGTTATGACTATATCACAGTTCGGTAATCATTCTTACAAAGAGCTCAGTCGCTGAACGGAGGGCCAATCCCCAGACCAACTTCCATCAGCACCACCAAGGAAACATATATTCCAACTTAAAAACATGAGTTTGTTACATAACCACAGCAGAAAAATAAGAATTCATACTTATGGAAGCTTCCCATGTGCCTGGCATTATTCTACATGGTTTTTAAAATCACTCAACTCGTGTTAACTCATTTAATCTTTTTAAAAAAAATTTTTTTAATGTTTATTTTTGAGAGAGAGAGATAGTGTGAGTGGGTGAGGGGCACAGAGAGAGGGAGACAGAATCTGAAGCAGGCTCCAGGCTCTGAGCTGTCGGCACAGAGCCTGACGTGGGGCCTGAACCCGTGAACTGCGAGATCATGACCTGAGCGGAAGTCGGACACTTAACCGACTGAGCCACCCAGGCGCCCCCAGCTCATTTAATCCTAACAGGAAGGAATGGAAGCTGGAAGTCACATGACTATAAGCGGTGATGCTGTGGCTCAAATCAAGCAGGGCTCGGTCCAGAAGCCATGCTTGGGACCTTGTCATCATACTCTCCCCGTGATCACTGAGGCTCCCACCTCAGTCACTCTCATACAGAAACTCTGAAGTCACGCTGATGGGGGCGGTATGAAGAATGGGCAGGAGGGGCCAGACTGGAAACAGGGAAGACTGTTGGGAGAGCCTTGTAAGAATGCTAGTGACACACGGTGGTGACCAGGGGCCCTGAAGACAGAAATGAAGAGACTGGGAGAGAAATGAAAAGGATACTCAACAGGACCTGATAACTCAAAGGAGCTCGTTGAGCCCTCGCACACGCCTGGTACACGGTATTTCTGATGTATCAAAATACTCTAATATTGTTAGGATTACCAGTTGGACTGTTCCCAGGTGTAAGTCAGCTTTTAATAACAAACTTACAGCAAATAGCTTCGGGTAAACGTTTTTATGGTAAAATATATATACACAGCCTTTCATGGATCATGCCACATCCACTATCTAATTTGATCTTAAAACAACCCTCTTAGATCGGTCTTCTCAGTCTGCTGTAACAAGGAACCACTGACCTGTGGCTTAAACAACAGAAAGTGCTCTCTCACAGCTCGGGAGACTAGCAAACCACTTGCGGGGCAGGCTTGATTCCTTTGGAGGGTGAGGGAGAATCTTCTCCAGGCCTCCCCGCCAGCTTCTGGTGGTTTCTGGGCAATCTTTGATGTTCCGTGGCTTGTAGGTCTCTGCTTTCATCTTAAAGTAGTGTGTTCCCTAAGTGTGTGTGCATGTCTGTGTCTAAATGTCCCCTTGTCATAAGGACACCAGTCATACTGGACTGGGGGCCCACGCTACTCTGGCATGACCTCATCTAACAAATTCCTTTTGCCATGACCTTATTTCCAACTAAAGTCACATTCTGAAGTACTCAGGGTTTGGACTTCAAAATATAAATCTGGAGGGGTGGACGCACTTCACCCTGTAACACCCTTCCAGCTGGCAAAGCAGGGATGGCTCCTGTGCCCATTTTAAGGAAAAAGAAACCGAGTCTCAGAGAGATGAAGTAATTTCCCCAAGGTAAGTGAAACCCTGAGCCACAAATGCGAGGTGGCTCCCTGGCTCAGTAGTCAGAGAGAGCCAGGCAGTGCCGCCTGCTGGGTGCGTGTGGCTGTTCTCACACCCTTCGAGCGGTCAGAACCGAGGGTGTAGAGAGAGCAAAGTGGTCAAATGTCGTCTCCTCTTAGAATCAATGGCAGATACCCCGCTGTTAAAAGCACCATTTTGCTTTATTCAGTTGCTGCCCCCACAGCCGCACCTCGTGAGGGCTTGACCTCCGGGGAAACTGTTCACTCACATTGTTTCTTGCACGTCTGTTGTTTCTTGCGGTGGGTCCGGCCCTGAGCAAGGGGAGAGCTGGGCACAATGCGCGTATTCAGGGCGGAGAGCAGAATGCCCTGCGCCTCCCTTTTCTCTCTGTGGCACCATTCTTTGCCTCCCTGTGCCTTTCTTTTGTCCTGTTGTTGAGCAACATTGGTGTGGGCGTGGGGAGCGTGCGGCTTGCCAGCAGTGAGACCGCGTGCCCGAGGACGCCTGCCTGATGACTTATGCACAAGGGCGCGCAGCGATGGGCGAGCTTCCCAGGAACCGCTTTGCCAACACGCCGGCTCCGACCTGGGCCTTCTTCTCTGCCCGCGTCACTCTCGACAGCGAGAGCTGGTAGCCCTCCAGGGGCATGGGTCCACCCGGAGAGCGGATGGCCGTGCCCCATGTGTGAACCCCCCTCCTCTTGGGAGGCAGCGTAGGAAGTAGATGAGTGCAGCTTCCAGAGATAGATTCTAATCCCAGCTCTGCCACTTACCGACAAGGTGAATTTCAGGAAGATGATGAATCTCCCTGTGTCATTTCCTCATCTATAAAATGGGGATAATACATTTGTTTACCTCATAAGGTTATTGAAAAGATAAATGATATAATCCATGGATGGTGCCTAGAACAACATGTCTGCCAAGTTATTCTAGCGCTCGGCACTTGTAAACAGTACTGCCTTAGTTTTCCCCCAAGTGTCATTTGTTAATTTGTTCATTGAAAACTGGCAGGATACATTTTTTTTAATGTTTATTTATTTTTGAGAGAGAGAGAGAGAGAGAGAGAGAGAGAGTGATCACGAGTGGGGGAAGAGCAGAGAAAGGGAGACACAGAATCCGAAGCAGGCTCCAGGCTCTGAGCTGTCAGCACAGAGCCCAACACGGGGCCCGAACCCACGAACCGTGAGATAGATCATAACCTGAGCCGAAGTGGGACGCTGAGCCCCCCAGGCGCCCCTGCAGGATACATTTCAAGAAGTTAACAATGGTTGTGTCTGGATGACGAAATTGCAGGTCATTTTATTGTTCTATTTAAACAAAAAAAAAATACATTTGTATTTTCTAAAGTTTCTGTAATAAACATGTAGTACCTTTTTTAATAAGAGGAAACAAACTCCCATTGAGGATCTTCAGGGTGCAATGGACTAAGGATGGGTGAGTACAAGGGAAGAGATGACCATTGTCTTTCGTGGAGTTTAAAGCCAATGGAGGGTGGGGAGCCTGGGTGGCTCAGTCTGAAAACCGTCCAACTTTGCCTCGGGTCATGATCTCATGGTTCACAGGTTCGAGCTCCACGTTAGGCTCTGTGCTGACAGCTCAGAGCCT